TTGCGTGAATCACCTATCACATTATCCCTGCATGTGTAGCCAGGTTCTGCATCTGAGTCTATGATTTTATTCTGAAAACCAAATATGAAAATTTAAAATGCCAGGCTAAAAGAGGTCAAATCATTTCTGATCAAATGTTGAGAACTGATCTGTGGTGGATCTCCAAGCGTCTACTTAGCTGGACTGACAAACAGATATTACCAAGAACTTTTTCTGATCATAAGTCAGTGACTTGGACTCTTAAGAAGAAATCAAGAGGATATAGATGGGGAATGAATGAAACCCTGTTGCATAATGAATCAAGAGTAAAGGATTGCAAAGAACAAATAAAAGAATTTTTTAAATGTTAAATTCAATTTCTAAAGTGTAACAATTGAGGGTTTAAACTTTGCATTTGTGTACTGGGTGTGGGTGTGGGCGTGCAAAGTTTTTCTCTCTCTTTTCATTTTAATTAAGCAAGCCCAGGTGGTAACAAAACATAGCAAACATATTTTCCTAACCTTTATTGTACCTCATTAGAATTCTCTCCTTTAAAAGGATTTCTAATTATATTGTCTAATAAAACTAAACCTTAGAGATCATTTGCATATTATATGAAGAAATCTCATACAATAAACTCACAGTGGATTCAATTAACATAATAGCTAATTATATATCCCATCAGCCTTTGACTGGTTCAGCATTCATGTTTCTCCTTGCACTAGCCTAAAGCAAACCGGGGAGGGGGGGAGAACGATTGAGTTTTCATTTTTAAATACTGACCCTTAATAAATATTGGAAATTGGAACATTTTTCCCAATGAAAAAGCTTGTGATTTATCTTCATGGAGCAGTAGAAAGAGATGCATACATCTATTCACTTCTGTGTACATGTACTTCTACGTATACATACTCACGGGTGATTGTAGACATATACGCACGCCTACATGCATAATTCATAGATAGTGCAACCTGGATAGAAGAAAGGGAAAATTTCTTACGGGGAAAACAGTGTTCAAAAATATTTGATTGGCTATCTGGATTTTGGAAGCTGTCCATCTGTAGCAGTTAGGTTTTTATTTTTCTCATCCCCTTTCCACATCCCACTTGCATTCTTGGCGAGTTATGCTCTCTATCAAGGCAGAAATTTACGATGAGATTAGCAGAGACACAGTAATGAACTGGATCATGAGCTTCCATGTAATTGACTGTTATGAAGGTGTCATTGTTGCTTGTAATGAATTCTCCATCCTGGGGCTTAAAATTGGCTAAAATATCTTGGACCTGTTTGGTCTCTCTGTTCTTCTTACAGCGAGGTGTGTTGATGTTAACTTTTTTCTCTTCTTTTAACATTGTGAATCCTTGGAAAGACTAACTTACGGCTCGCTGGTGGTTCTTCCTTTCTTCCTTTGGTTTGGGGTTTTTTTGTTTTTTGTTTTTTGGCCCCCTTTTTTAAAATGTGATGGGCATGCTCTGAAAGATTGGCAACACTAGCATTTAGGCTAATCCACTCCACTGCTAACCTTTCCACATGCGACAAACATCGACTCGGGGAAATGGAGTTTCGGGGGTTCCATGTTGCTCTGTTGTCGTTGTTTGAAATGATGGCGAAATTTGATGCAGAATAAGATGCCTTTCTTTCTTTTGAATGACGGCTGACTTGTTATTCATATTTTAATGAGGTTACTATCTCTGAGGCAGCTTTTTCAGGGCGAAGGCCCAAATCTCCAGGGTGATTACAATGGGGGCTGCTTTATTGACAAGCACCATTCAGAATCTTCAGAGCTTCCATAGAATAGCTTTTGGTTTCTGCCACTTGTCCAGATACCCCCCTGTTTTATTATTAAAGCAATTTTAAAGTATACTTAACTTTGGGAGGGATGGTTTTGCACTGGTGGCTATTTTTGATATATCTTTCTCAAACCTCTACACAAGTGGAAATATAAATTCTAGTTGCTTTCTAGGGAAACCCCCTTGACCCAAGAACCAAGAAAAATAGCACAAAGGCAGTGTTACAATTGCCCGTCTTGAATTTGTGTAAGAACCTCATATATTAATGGTCATGCGTATGCATTTTGGTGAGGTTATAATTTGGTCTATGGTATCTCATCGTATGCCAAACTGTGTGAACGGAGAATTTACTCTCCTTAGCAGTTTTATAAGACAGGAAAACCATCTGGATGCCTTGTGTTAAGTTTAGTTCTGGCCATTTTAAAAAGTTGGGGACAGAGGAGAGAAGAAATATTGGGAGTCTATTTGTTATAACTACGTTGTTCAATATAAAATCAGATTATTAAAAATGGCCATGAAAACAAGCAACTCCCTTATTTATATCCTTAGGAATATATTGGAGTGTGTAGAATGTAAGCACTTTTTTTTCCACATGCCTACGTAAATAATTCTGTACATAATTTATATCTATATAGGATCAGTACTACCAAATATTCTTTTGGACATAGGAACTTTCTGTATACATATCAGCAAGGAGACCAGATCATTCATTGTTTCTTGAAGACTTTGTATATTCAGAAACGCATGCTAATGTATCTGGCATAACCCAGCATGTGTTGAAACATGCTTCTGTCAAAGGAATACAAAGATTCTTAGGCTCAGATTGAAGTGTAGCCTTTCATATATTCTGATTAAATTAATATATTTTCAATTATATGCCTCAAGCCTAAAGCAACTCTCAAATGTTTGTTGTACTTTTTCCTTATTGTTGATATGTCAGTACCTTTCATTAGATTGGATATACGTGTCCACGAATAGCTTCCAAAATGACCTCCTCCTCCCCCAAATCTTAGCCAAATACCCAATCTGCTTTTTCAGAAAACATTGCAGATCTTTTTTTTAAAAAATCAGTCCTCTGAGAAACAGTTAGCACAGTTTGAAATGTCAAGCTACTGTGTTTAATAGCCTTATCCTTCTCTTTTCATTTCCCATGGTTGGCGCACGGTGCAATTCTAGCAGGTCTACTTAGAAGTGAGTTCTATGTGCTCTCCCCACCATCCAACACATAGGAAGATATGTTTAAGCACTGTAATAAATGGGCCTAAACATTATTAACCTTATTTATTTGCAGCCAAGACAGTTAAGCTAAAGGACAGCCAAGTACAGATGTAATTTAGACCAAACTCCCTAAACTTTCATTCTCATTACATTATTGTAGTAGGCATCTTTTCAGTCAAATCATTCATCTCCACAATGAGTTCAAAAGAAAAGTTTTACGTTTGTAAAAGAAAGAAGTGCATCTATTTAAGTGAAGATATCATGAAGAAAGAAGCCAAGGCTATCCTTGCTTTCGTTCCAACGTGGAGCAAATTTCTTGCGTGTAAGAAAATAAGTACCCATTGAAATCAGCAGGAGGTTCTTCCAAATGATGTCAAAGTGCTTAGCTTTGCAAGGCCTAGTCATAAAGGTGGAGAAAAGTTGTGTTAGACTGTATATTTCACCTAATATCTTTAGAATCATGCTATTAGGTCAATGTATATTAAAGGGGAGGGATGTGTTTTTTGAGACACGCACACACAAGCACACGTCCATATGTATGCACGCATTCACTTTTAGAACAGTTTGTTTTATTTATGATTTAGCTTTCAATATGGCACTTGAAATCTGTTTCTGAACATCTGCAACAAAAAGGAGGAGGAGGGAAGGAAACAAGGAAGTAAGGAAAGGAATATTGCCTGCTCATTTTCTCTTTTTAATGTTGGATCTTTTCGTATTTCCCTATTTCCATAAAGTCTTAGGTTTCTAACTACAAGATAGGACAAGTTAAAAGGAGAAAGATCTATTGTAAAAAGGCCTCGTTCAAGATGCCCAGGAGATGGGGTTGGGGAGAAGGGACTCTAAGCTTTAATTTTAATTCTCCTGCCTTTATTTCTCTGATTTGTAACCAGATGGTGGTGAAGTAAGGGACCCCTTTGTGTAAATGGAGCACACATATGAAAGTCCTTCTGTAATGTAATCATTGAGACCGGAAGGGTTCATACTGCGTGTGAAAAGAGACAATGGGGATGGGATATATCAACATTGCAGAAATCGAGTTCATTTGTGATTCAGTCCCTTTGACTATGGTTGTCATGATAACTTCCTCCTTTGATCAGCAGAGGGTGGAGAGGGGAAATCTTCTAAAGGCCCAAAGATGCAGCTCTGTTGTTTACTGTGCACTTGGCTTCAATTCACGCCCTCTTCCGGAAGAAGCACCAGAGATGGGCACATCATGCACCTTGACCTGTCTAGACGGGAGAGAAGTTTTTTGTCTCTGTTTCCAAGAGCAAGGGGCACTCTTTGACCCTTGTAGCACTGACTGCTGAGACCCTCGCTAAGTACGTAGGTAGTGTGCCTCTAAATGTTTCCCCTGAATTCTTGCTTAATTCTGAAGGAAGAGGAAAGGGCGAAGACATGGACCAGCTGTTTGAAAAGAAAACCTGAAATAGTAGAATCTGGGAGAAGTACAGTTTTGTAAGTGATTATTTTCTTTGCGCAAACCCTTGGGAGGCATTAAACAGCTGCAAGTGACTTGACGAACAGCAAGTCAGACCAATTGAAGGATGGATGGGTGGGGGGGGGAGGATGTTTAGAAACTTTGCTTTGGTTAAAGAAACCAAGCACATTCTAACAAGGAATCTATCAAGAGTTCATCAAGATGGGAAAAACAGTTTCTCTCTTTATATGCTGAGTTTTGAACATAAAATGTACCACTGTAATTTTTTTAAAAAATTAAGCACATCTTGCTTTTAAAACAAGCTTACAATGGCACATGTTATATTTTCAGGCTAAAAGGAATATTTTATTAGCACCTTAAATGTTTAATTATTCCCAGACTCATCCTAGTTTTAGCTGACATTTTTAATTATATATGTAATATGATATAAGACAATAATTATGCAGATACAGAGATCTGGAGGCATTGTTCTGTTATGTCAATCGGGGTTAAGGATTCTGTGTTTATATACGCTTGCAGGATTTTGATTTTGTAAAATCTGAAAATGTTATATTTCTGTGAAACTTTTTCTTTAGATCCCTTTTGCAAAGTCAGAGACCTTCTTAACAGACATTTTGGAAAATGTATGTGATCGGATGAATGATTATCAACTTCAGGATGATCCTGTAACTAACAAAAAGATATTCAAGAGATATGCTCCCAGGAAGGATGAGGAAATATATGCAGAATATAAAAAATATTTCTTTTATTCTGACGCTTATAAGCCCTTGAAATACGCGGTAAGAAAACAGAATAAACTGATGAGTTTGGGGGATGAATTGCTCTGACCCTCATGTTTGATATTGTATATTAATTTGCTTCACTGAATATAAATGTAAGGCTTTTATAGTATTCTGGCATTTTTCAGACCCTGAGTTTGTCTTAAATAATAATAAATGGGATGGGATGCCTTAAAGCAAGTGAAACACCATGGAGTACAGTTCTAAATATTGATGAATCTATGCATGAATAGATGCCACTCTGGTTTCACTTTGGGTTATCAAACTTTTAAACTAAAATCACTTTAAAATAAAAGACAGAAAAGCAACACAAATCCATCGCTTTACCTGCCATGATTTTCAATGCTTTAAATCTAAAGGCAAAGGCTGGCTACTCTCTTCTGCAAGAAAACATGGAATTGTGACGCTATATTGATAGCTGTTGAAGTGGTGGGGAGGTTAGCTATTGTCTCTCCCCCACTTTTCTTTCTTTGGACTTTATTGAAAGCTTGAGCTAGAATGAAGGCCTAGAGCAGGTTGATGCAAGAATGTAGTCCTTGAGCTGGCCCATGCCTCAAGCATCATTAGAGATCAAGAAATGCTCACTAAAATAATGTTTTCATCAAGGACCTATAGACAAAAGAAAGAAAGGTGGAAATATATTTGCCTGCTCATCCAAAATTAGACCTGTAGAAAAGAAAGCAAATCTTGTTGTTTTAGAAGAATTCTAATCTTCAGGATCCTAATAAGTTAAGGTCTGGAGTTCCAGTAGGGTATTTTAATGTCAACTGAGAAGTGTAATCAAGAAAACATGTAAAAACACTGAGGAACCTATAGTTGAATTGATTTTGCTTTGACTTTTTGAAGACAATTTTGGCATTCCAGAATCGGTAGAGTCTAATTTAATGTGCTGGAGCAATATTTATTTAACAATACATACCATGTATGAGATTTGGAACTAAGAACTGGATTCTTTTAGCGTAGAATTTTATGGTAAAATTGGGTTCTTTCGTGATAGAATTTTGCTTCCTGGGTTTTTTTAAGGGCATTTTATGGAGCGTTTTTCCTTTGCTGTGATTCTCTGCAGAATTCTGGGGACAGAAACTTATGACCAATGCTTAGGGCTGAGTGGCCAAGTAAAGCTTCATTTTCTACCACCCAAAGAAATTTTGCAAGGACAGGGCCCAGTGCTAACAAAATCAAAAATCAAGTTTATGTTATATGAAGTCACTGATTGCTTTCTCCATTTTGAAAAATGTTAGTATTTGGTGAAAAGTGGAATAGTCTCTTTTTCTCCATCTACACATACTCTATATGCTCCATCCATCCATCCATCCATCCATCCATCCATCCATCCATCCATCCATCTCAAAGCATTAGCATCAATCATTAAAAGCATTTCACCTAATTGTATCACAAAAAGAATAACCTGTATTAAGGGGAAACATTCATCATTCACTTACCTTTCAACAGACAGAATCTGAATTAGTTTATAATGAAATTTCAATCTATTGTTTATGCTAAAAGTAAACTACAATAACAGAACAACTGATCAGGGATACTATATGGGCAAAGAGCTCCAAATTGTCTTCTTGACATGGCGTCCTTTGGCTGCTCTGTGTAAATGGTCTTGTTTAGTTCTTTTTTAGAGAGCTGCTGTTTTTCCCTCCTTACAGTGTGAAACTATCATAGAACAGTATGAAGATGAAATATTCTCACTTATCGCCCAGGAGGCAGACTTTCTGGCTGACAAGCTGTGCATTGAAAAATCAGGTACTGTGTCTGATGTAACATGTGCTTCTTTCTCAACAGCAATTCTTCCCCCTTTCTACCACCCCCCCGCCCCCTCAATCCATGTTGTATTGCTGGAATGCAGCACTTTGGAAAGCATTTTGGAAAATAATATTTTCTAACTAAATTAACATCTGATCTCCAACAATTATCACAATGGCCAGAAAAAGAATTTGGGTGAAGGGATTCCTGCAGGAATCTCATCGTCCATTTATTTTGGCTTCAGTTTCATGTAGTTGATTCTAAAACTAAGAAGGTTATTTTAGGACCATCCATCCCTCTTTTGCCAAATTCTAAATGCACGTAAGTTGCAATGCTATGGAGAGTTACTTGAATAAGACCCCAAAACAAGCTGAGACTTAGCAGGAAACATACGTAGGATGAAGTTGCTAGACATCTGAATGAGCAGGTTGTAAAAATAAGGGTGAGTGACTGGATGTTTGATCTAGATAGGTTGAAAAGATCTAATAATAACAATAACAGATGTGAACAAAATGAATTAGTGGGTAATACCCTTGTATTCATAAGAGTACAGAGGAAAAAATAATTACAGAGTCTGGAAATTTTTAATTGTTAAAAAAATATTTCATTGCAACATGAAAGATAAATTATTTAAATTTCAACGATCACTTGATCATCATATAATTGATGTTCTTAAAATAATAGAAACAAATTGTTGCACAAGGTCACTTTTAAAACTCTGGTCTGGTTTGTCCTTTTCCTTCAAACGTTTTTCAAGCAACATGAAGGTAAAGAGAAAAGAATACAACTAAGCAGGAAGAAAGAGAAGAACAGTATGAGGGCATTTCCTCCAGCATGTTAATCTCATTTTCAAACTTGCCTGTAGTTTTAGGGCACCCTTTCCCCAATTTATAGCCTTTCAAATGTCTTGGACTCATCTGGGAAAAGGATTCTTTAGGATGAAATATGTTAAAAATGGTGTCTTGAATATTATGTTAAATGCTACGAATCCTCATTTCTGGAGCATCTGACAAAGTAAGATGCAATACACTGAATACTCTGAATGCAGTCTATGTACACTTATCTGGTGGCCACCCTGAATGAATAGGGTTCTTTTAAAATTAAATAAATACATTTGATGGAATCTAGCTGAGTCTAGTTTGTGGTCTTCCCTGATTAATTTTGAAAATAATGGCTCTTATGGTCAAGTCAGCTACCTATCATCCATCCATCCATCCATCCATCCATCCATCCATCCATCCAT